GTTGCCCAGGCTGGAGCACAGTGGCACAATCTTGGCTCACTGCAACCTCCCCAGTTCAAGTGATTCTCATGCCTTGGCCTCCCCAGTAGCTGGGATTACAGGTGTGCACCACCACACCCAGCTAATTTTTCTATTTTTAGTAGAGAAGGGGTTTCACCATGTTGGCCAGGCTGGTCTTGAACTCCTGGCCTCAACCGATCTGCCCACTTTGGCCTCCCAAAGTGTTGGGATTACAGGCACAAGCCACAGTGCCTGGCCCAAAACAGTCTAAAACCTAAAGGGCTTTTGTGCATGGACAGAAACACATACTAGCATTTGTACTTTACGGCTTTTTATAAATAAACACATTTAATAAATACAATTTTGGAAACTCAATGTTTCTTAAACATGTTAATGTTTGTTACCAACTTCATTAAGTAAAATCCCTGAAATAATTTAAGCTACAATTACAAATTTACAAAGCCATTCCTTAGAACACCTCAAATGGCATAAATATCAGACAGAATATACATAAATATCAAACTATTATTATGTTACCCTTAAAAATATATGAATCTAGTTCATATCTTCATTATTTCCACACTTCACTATTTTTCACTCCTTCCAGATTACAGTAATATTTATTTTGATGCCTTCTCAGATAACAGTAATGTACCCAATTTGAAAAGAAATGAAATACCTGTACAGAGCCAACAAGGATACAGGATCAACCAACTGATTATCAACCAATTGATTCTTGTTTGGGGCCCAGGCACCGTCTGCCTCTCTCAAATGATTAAAACTCCAGCTCCTAAGGGTCCTAAGATTCAGTTTTCTTTCCATAGTTAAACTTTGTTACATCAGTAAGATTTTTCAAATCCACATCTTTCATTTACATTTTAGAGTTTCTTTACATGGTGCTCCTCTGTGATAGCATTATTTCAAAAGTTGTATAAAGGGCTAGGCGCAGTGGGTCATGCCTATAATCCTAGTATTTTAGGAGGCTGAGGTAGGAAGATCACTTGAGACCAGGAGTTTGAGACCAGCCTGGGCAACACAGCAAAACTCTATTTGTATAAAAGGAAAAAAAAAATACTCGAGCATGGTGGCTCACACCTAGTAGTCCCAGCTACTCAGGAGGCTGAGGCAGGAGGATTTTTTGAGCTCAGGAATTCAAGGTTACAGTGAACTATGATCATGCCACTGCACTCCAGCAAGAGTGAAAGAGACCCTGTCTGTAAAAGAATATATTTTAAACTAAAAAAGTACAAGGAGATGTACAATATGTATAAGAAAGTGATCTCCTGGACACATTGAGTGAGTAGGTGCAGAAGACTACAGTCTCTAGGTTTGTTTAAGAAGTCACAGGAAGAGGAATACAGCATATTTGCTCATGTTTAAAAAAAAAATGGTACAATAAACAAAAACCTACTAAACTTGGTTACCTAGAGGAACAGAATAAGGAAAATAATAAGGAAGAAATGGAAAGATGCAATACTACTCTAAATATTCTTCATTTTATTGTTTTGATTTTGCTATCATGTAATGTTACACATAATTGGAAAAGTATTTATCAAAGAGAAAAATAAATGACCACTGATACAAAGATAGAATTATTTTAGGAAATAAAAAATTATTATTTTTACTGAAAATATCTGGTAGGACATATACTATTTTTTTTTTTTTTTTTTTTTTGAGATGGAGTCTCGCCTCCATTGCCCAGGCTGTAATGGCGTGATCTCAGGTCACTGCAAACTCTGCCTTCCAGGTTCAGGCCATTCTCCTGCCTGAGCCTCCCAAGAAGCTGGGATTACAGGCATGTGCCACCATACCTGGCTAATTTTTTTGCATTTTTAGTAAAAATGGAGTTTCACCACGTTGGCCACCCAGGTCTCAAACTCCTGACCTCAGGTAATCCACCCGCCTCCCAAAGTGCTGGGATTACAGGCATAAGCTACCACACCCAACCTGTATATACACATCTTAAAGGCAAAAAGAACTGTATAATCTTCTTAAACTGCATTCAGTGTCTTATTCTTAGTGGCTCTGTGGTAATGTTATTCAGAAACAATTATATGCACTCTGCAGGATACAACTAATAAGCAATAATATTAAGATCTGTAGGTGTCAAGATTCAATAAAAGTGCATCAACCAGATCTATGTGCCTCCTGATGTGATGCACTAGGAAAAACACAACACCTCTATGCAATATTCTTGTCACTAAGAAAAGTTGGTGGGGGAGAACCTGTATGAAATCAAACATCTAGATTTAACTACCAGCTTGCAGGAAATACAGGAAACAAAGCAAGTAAAATGACACTAGAGGAAGCAGTGAGAATGTGGGACATTTTACAAAACAAATTATGTTTCCTTCAATAAATGAGTCGCATGGGGAAAAAATAAGACAAGAAGAATTCCTGTCCATTACAAAAGATGTTAGATACATAACAACCAAGGGTAATATGTGGACTCTGTATGGCTTCTAATTTGAACAGGGCCACATGTAAAAAGACATTTTTGAGACAATTTGGGAAATTCAAATATAGAATATGTATCTGAATATAATCAGCACTAGATGACATTCAGGAATTGTTGTTATTTATTCATAAGATAGTGGCACTGTGTTTCTATTCTCTAAATATATAATTTTCTATTAGAGATGCACATTCAAGTATAATGTAATTTCTGGGATTTGCTTTCTAATACTCCAGCAAAAATGGAGGAGGAGAGAATAAATTCACAAGATTAGCAAAATGCTGATTATTGTTCAAGTTAGGTGATGAATGATCATGATACTATTCCTTCTACTTTTGAGTTATATTTAAATGTTTCCATAATAAAAAGATTTTTAAAATTTTATATATGCCTTCTTCTGTAATTAGTAGGCCCATCTGGAGATTTCATATCCTAAGAAATGGAAATCAAGTCTGTGAAGTTCATTTCCTCCTTACAATGGTTGATTCTTTCATCTTGGAACACTTGAAAGAAAATGTCTTTCCTCCTACTGTTATGAGAGCAGTTCCTACTTTTTCTTTAACTATTTGGCTTATTCACAGTTTCCTGTATTCATTCCTCTCTAAGTAAAGAGACATATTTATCCTTTATAAATAGGCATTGATAAAAGAAAAACTTCAACGGAATTAAATTTAAAGGAGTTTACTTGAGCAATGAATGATTCATGAATTGGGCAGCACCCCAGAGTCACAGCAGATTCACAGAGATTCCAGTGCACCCACATGGTAGAAGAAGACTTACAGACAAAAAAAAAGGGAAATGATGTACAGAAATCAGAAGTGAGGTACAGAACAGCTGGACTAGTTACAGATTGGTGTTTGCCTTATTTGAACACAGTTTGAACACTCAGTGGTATATGAATGGTTGAAGTATCGCTACTGGGATTGGTCAAGTATCAGCTATTGTTACAGGTACATACTCCTAGTTAGGTTTTCAATCTTGTCTACCTATAAAGCTAGGTCACAGTTCGTACACAAGGACTCAAATATAGAAGCAGGGAGTCCTTCTTGGGCCATATTTAGTTCACTTTAACAACTCCTCCTTTTGGTCATTTTCTCAATTTTGAGAGATTGACCAAAACTTTAGTTATTGATGTCACTATCACCATTGTAAGAGTACTTATTTGATCTTGAAACACACTGGGAAATAACAGAACAGAGAGTTTTGTAAAGGGAGGAACAAGGACTAAGTAGAGGGTCCCTCTTTTATGCTGGAATGTCCTGGTTATAAGAGAAAAACAAAATCTGGTCTCTTCAAGAATCTATGTGTTTCCATAAAGTCTTAGTTTGATTATGTCACATTTAGCATGAATGAATCCATTTTAGTTTGGTTTGGCCTGTTGGGGCCTAGTGAACAACCTTGGTCCAAAACAATGGCCTCCCATAATTTTGTTTAAAAAAATTTCCCCCTTCCCAGCTACTCAGGAGGCTGAGGCAGGAGAATTGCCTGAACCCAGGAGGCGGAGGTTGCGGTGAGCCGAGATTGCGCCACTGCACTCCAGCCTGGGTAACATGAGTGAAACTCCGTCTCAAAAAAAAAAAAAAAAAAAATTTCCCCTTTTTCATCAGGTTCTCACTTAGATGAAGGTGTGACCCAAACTTAGGGCCTTCATGCCACTCTCTATTACCACCATTTTAGTTTCCAGTTTCACCACATCATTCAAAGGTTATAGTAGCCTCATGGTTGCACATTTCTTTCAGCTTTTGTCACTCCGTTTGAAGACAGACCATATGACATTCTACAGATGGCTGCATGCAAGCATTTAAAATCTTTGTGAGAATACAGTGCACCAGGGAGACTATTACTATGATTAACAGGGAAGATAACACCAAGAGTGTAGAGGATGCTGCTTACCAAGGGTAAACAAAATCACCAAAATTAAATAGATTAAAGAATGAGCTAGATAAAGAGTCTACTTGCTTTAAGTAATCTTTTCATTAATTCTCTACAACTTAATTTTTATAATCTACATTTGATGTATTTCCCTATAGGCCATAAGTGCCAGCAGCTGCACAGGTACTTTTCTGTTTAGCCAATTCTATTATTTAGCATAACTTTCACAAGAAAATTTATTGTTACAATAAATAAAAATCTGTTGTTACACAATAGACTTTACATTAGAATCTGCTATATAGCCTATCACAAGGGATACATTTCTAATTATTTCCTCTTTTATTCTAAACCATGGAAAAAGGACCTAACAAATGATGTCCTTTTAGAATAGTGAAGGCCTCCTGGCAATGTTCTATTTAACTCATGATGTGGGTGTGGGTTAAGAGTAGTTTTGGCTAATTATGAGGGAACATTACGTACCATTAAAGTTTCTCACCTATGTTGGGCCTTCATCTTCTATCCATCAAAGTACAAAGTTATTCATGTATAAAGCTGGCAAAGAAATCCTTCACACACAAAAAAGTATACCTTATAAGTGCACATAATAAACCCCTTTTCATATTGTTTATAGAGGCATAAACAATGAAAAAATATTCAAAGGTAAGAGCCTCACGATAGTAGAAGTCTTGATCCATGATCTCGGGAAAAGCTGTTCACATCAAGGATGCCATCTTCTTCTGGGGAGAAACTCTCCTGGTTAGTTTTACCTTAAGGGTTCCAATGGTTGTACAGTTCCAAAAGTGTGGAGGGACCCTTCTCAGTTGTGAGACTATGAACCCAAGGTTCAAGGTTCCAAAGTTTTGTTGCAGTATGGATGACAAGGACAGTCTTTCTCTGATGTTCTCAGAAGATCCAGTCTTCAGGTTCTAGATTGTGAAGGGGTTGATTGTCCTCAGTGAACCATAAAAACCTTCTTTATGTACTGAAAATATACTGTGGCATAATAATTGTAATAACATAAAACATGCATTGAAAATGACGATTAAATGAATTCCCTTTATAAATATTTAAATGACCCATTGGATAGCCAAATGTACACAAAGGTTTGATTGTCTTCCCAGGAATATGGAACCAAACATTGGTTTTAAACTACATTTTCACAATTGATAAGTCACTATGTCAATATATTCAATTTGGATCATTTTATCTTTTCCATGATAAGTCATGGAATGCAGAACCTTTAATAACAAAAGCTTTAAAGGCTCAGGAAGGACAAGACAGCCTTCCTGGTTCTTCATGAGTCTATGCTTAATATTGGACTTACGTCATCTTGAATACCAGCCGTTTCTCCAATTTAGGTTCATAGCACTGATAACTAATGGTTATCATAGGTAATTTGACTTAGACTGTGGAGTTCAAATTGTATATCTAAACAATTTCATTAGTGGCTGGTTTAATATGAAAATCTGACAGAGTATTTTCCTGGGTTTAATTAATGTTTTGTTTTACTTGGGTTAGCAGTTTCACACAAGAAAATTTGGTTATTTCTGTGGTGTACCATAACTTTACATAATAACTATAATTGTGATTGGTAGCATATACTCAGGCATATTAGAATTTTAGAAATCCCATACAATTTTTTTTTGAGACAGAGTCTTGTTCCGTCACCCATGATGGAATGCAGTGGCACGATCTCAGTTCACCGCAACCTCCGCCTCCTGGGTTCAAGTGATTCTTCCCCCTCAGCCTCCCAAGTAGCTGGGATTACAGGCACTCACCATCATGCCCACCTAATTTTTTGTACCTTTAGCAGAGACGGGGTTCCACCATGTTGGCCAGGCTGGTGTCAAACTTCTGGCCTCAGGTGATCTGCCCTCTTTGGTCTCCCAAAGTGCTGAGATTACAGGTGTGAGCCACCATGCCCAGCACTATACAAGTTTAGAACATATATTAATATCATTCACTAAAATATAGTCTGGAGATTTAACATTATTTTTATTTTGACAATGCTTCTCATGTAACTTAACATATTAAATAATTCCATTTACTTCTCTTTTGGATTCTTCAGGGGCCTTCTGAAGCATTCCAAAGTTAGAGGTCAGAAAAGATCATTTTGAAGCTGAAATTTAATTTTGGGAAGCCAATTAAATATATTAAAGTTTTTAAACACTTGACATTATGAACTGGAATTCCAGGTCACCATGAATCAGTCATTTAGCCAAAATGATGGCTCAAAAAATTTTTGAAAGGCAAAAACCTTTACTCATTGAATAGAGGGAAGACTTAGCTTTCCAAGCAATCTGTCTTTTGTCTTTCCTTTCTTTCCTTCCTTCTTTTTTTTTTTTGGTAGTATATTTAAAAGGCAAATAAAAATCCTTCATTATCTTTTAATATTACATGAAAATCTTGTTCAAGAGAGAAAATCAAATTTTACCTTTGCATTAGTGAACTATTAATGTCAACACCAATTTTTAATAAATCCTAACAGACAAATCTATCCAATCTTAAACAGTTTGACCATAAGGTCAGATTTCCATAAACATTTTATAACCTTTCACTAATTTTTGTTAAAAAGCAGATTTGTGCTTTAAGAAAACCCCATTGTGCTTTTATGTCAATGTTCAATTGACAGAAAAACTGAATAATACACATTTAAATTTAGTCAATATTTTCACACATAAAATTTCTTTTACGACCTTAATTTTTACAAACCTTCCTCAACCTGTTCAAACCTTTAGCTTTATTCTATTTAATTTAAAACAATCCTTTAACCCTCTAAACTAGGCAAAAATTTACATTCCCATGCATTCTTACAATCTCTTACCAAAAACACATTGCATTCTTCTCACATGCCTTGCATGTAAACCTAGTTCTTCAGTAGTCTCAAATACATGTTATAATGGTAATTCTTAGCAACTTTCAGTTTGGTGCATACATTTTCTCTTATGAATCCTTTCATGACTTACACAGACCATCTGCAACATGCTTGGACTTTCTCACTTGTCCTAAGCATCCCTTTTTTTAAACAACTAGTCATTTTACATTAGGACAAGAATTTACTATCCAAGTCCTTTCTTATACAAAATCTCCTTTCTTTATAACCTTCTTTTCGTAGCTAGGGGCATTGCTAATTTCACATATGCTGAGGGCTTATTTAGAATTTAATGTCTCCAAAATAAATTGAACAATTTTCAAAAGTCAAGCAGTTTATGGCCTTAAAAATATGAAGCAAACCTAATATCTGACCTGCAAAATTTAAACTAAATGTCTTTATTTTATCAATAATCTTTAAAGCTGTTTTTATTTCCCAAAGATTACCAAAGTTACAGGAACTAAAAGGCATTACAGTTTTTATTTTTCTTTCAAAATATTTAAGCACTTATTTTTGTTTAAACAAATTAGAGCTCTTTTATACAAACATTACACAGACAATACATATATAACTACACAGACAGACCAAAGAAGACTACTACAGTAGTTGTAAGATTTTCCAGTTACCAGTTTTTAAGTTTTTTAATAAGATTACTGACTTTAGGGTGAAGTCCTTGGAATAACAGGGCCAGGAAAGGGTCTCTCGTGCCTCCTGTTTTTTCCAAGATGTCCCAGGCTTTGATTGCTTCAATATCCACTTTTAATTAAGCTGACTTTTAACCATAGCACTCTTTAATAAAGTCCTTTTAAAATTTTTTATAACCCAAATTTAGCCAGGTCAAATGGCAGACATTTTATACTTTACCCAAAGTAATCTCACAGGTGCTCTGATAAAGAAAAATTCAAGACGGTTTGTGAAGGGGAAGAGAATCAAAAAATGGCAAAGGTCACCCAAATATCAATCAAAAAGTCTCATCCCCTAATATAGGGATTGAACTCTGAACTTGGGCTGCCATTGTGAAAAGAGAAAACATGGCCACCTGGTTACAAGGTCAGGCTCCTAAGGACATAATTGACCAGTGTGCTGGGCCGTCGTGAACAGCAAGCTTATGAGGTTTTGGGCACATGTTTTATCCTAAGGTACCCCTCTTTATGACAACAATACAGAAAGACCCAGAAAGCACACCAGATCCACTACAGCTTAAGACCACCCTCAGAATTTTTTTTGTATTAACCAAAACTTTACATAGGAGGCAACAATAATTTTTACCATTCCTTTAACTATTTTGCACAAAGAAAAAGAATGGGGGAAAGCCAGAATTCTGACTGGTAAGAAATTCTTACCCTTTTACTGGCATGCCGGGCTTCTGGGCTCTCTCCCCCTTTCCCCGAGCAGCCCTAGTGACCCAGCTTGCCACACCATTACCCTGGGGGCCAACCTACATCATAAAGGAAAATTATCTTTTATCATTCTAGTCAGAACAAAACACATGTGATAAAACATAGATATTAGTCACGCTGCTTAGCAACCAGTATCAAACTGGTAAGGCTTGAATTTGCCCTCAGATGGCCCCTGTCATCTTTAATCCAACCTCTAATTATGAGTTTCAACACATGGTCTCTGGGCAAGATGGCTGCCCTGAGTAAAAGATAGGAAAGGAAAAGTAGAGAAAGAAAAGTATTGCCTATGGCAAGATAGGGAAGGTGAACACTCAGGGAGGCCAGAGCAAGACCCACTCAATGCAATGACACTGAAAAGTTCAGGCGGCTGCTTGTCAGTAGCCAAGAAATCTTTTCGAGTGGTCCCATCAGCTCTCAAATTTTCCCTTTTGGGAGGAAAAAGCTTTCCATGTCCCATGGTCCTGTACATGCCTAATACTGTCACCCATAGTCATCAGCAAAAAGTATAAGACAAATTAATCAAGAGAGAATAGTAGTTAGCATCCCATAGTGCCACACCTGTTCTTAACCGAAAGAGGCTTTACTGAGAGCCCTCATTTTTAAACATACTTCAACGCATTGTTCATTTGGAACATTCCACTGTAAATCATCTTTAGTAAGATTTTGCCATTTCTGTTAGACTGCTGTCTCCCAGACCTAACGTATACACCAGAAGGAACTTAGTTTTCCAGAAATTAAGGAACCCATTTCTACCTAAAATATTGGCTTTACTCTCAGGGTATCTTGATTAACTTAGCCAATGAGTTTTCCTACCTAATCGTGCAAGAAAAATGAAATAAAGGGGTAGAACATAAAAATCCTGTGAATTTTCAAGAAGGCAAATTTTATAACCCCTGCAATATTTCTGCTTACTATCAGTTCCTTTCTGAACCAGTCAGATCTAAGAGGTCTCAAACTAAATCCAAGCCAATCCAGATCAAATCCATTCCTGGATCCAGCTTAGTTTCTGTCACGACTTTCAAACCCAGTTTGGATCGGGAATTTGCTCAAAGAAACTTAGAAAGCTCAAAACACAAATCTGTGGAGGTCTGATATCTGAGAGAGAGCTTACCCATGATGCCCAGCTGCTCTGAGAGATCAGTGAACACAAGCAGGTCCTGCAGGTACCTTGCTTGTTCACTCAACACTCCTGGGGGTTGCCAGAAGCTCTACTTCAGATTCTGCTTCTGACATCATCTGATAAAAAAAAAACTTTAGCCAAATTAAATTTAAAGGGATTTAATTAAACAAGGAACAATTCGCAAGTCAGGCAGTGCCCAGAATCACAGCAGATTCACAGAGACTCCAACGCAGCCACCTGATGGAAGATTCACAGACAGAAAAAGAGAAATGATGTATAGAAATTGGAAATAAGATACAGAACAGCTGGATTGGTTACAGATTGGTATTTGCCTTATTTGAACATAGTCTGAACACTCAGTAATGTATGAATGGTTGAAGTATGGTGGCTGGGATTAGCCAAGCCTCAGCTATTGTTACAGGTCCATACCCCTAGTTAGGTTTTCAATCTTGTCCACCTATTAAGCTAGGTTACAGTTCTTCCACAAGAACTCAAATACAGAAGTAGAGAGTCCTTCTCAGGCCATATTTAGATCACTTTAACAGCATATATAGGCAGTCCTCACTGTGCAGAACTATGTAGTGAAAGACTAAAAAACCCTGCAATTAAGCAATCAATAATTAATGGGGAAAATTACAGTTATTTGTGACTTTTGAAGTTTTTTGTTAAAACATTAAAAATCATTTTACTGCCAGTTATAACCGTATGAAAAACTATATAGGAAAGGCAAATGGAAAAAGTAAGACCAATATTTATTTAGTATATTATATATTTTTTTAAGAGATGAGGTCTCACTATGTTGCCCAGGCTGGTCTCAAACTTCTGGTCTCAAGCAATTCTCTCACCTCAGCCTCCTAAGTAGATAAGAGTACAAGTGCATGCCACTATGCCTGGCTTTAGAGTACTATATTCTAAAATGTCAGAAACATGGAAGATTAAAGTGTTTTGCTTCTTTGTAAAAAAAAAAAACTTTTCATTTTTCTCTGAGGGTGGAGGAGAAATGAATTAATCTATATCCACCCTAAGTTGAGCCCTCTAACAAGCAACCCTAGGGCACTTGGAGATTCACATTTTCATGTCTAACCTTAACAAATATTTTCCTCATTGCTTTTACAAAGTTATATCTCATTTGTATTATTTCCAACTTATCACATACAGTGGGTATCTTTTCTATTTCTTGGCAAACTATCATAACTCTAAATTTAAATCAGCTTCTAATATTTAATCCTTTGAGTTTTCAACATCATGAAGTATCTCTGACAGTTCCTTTTCTAATAAAGCTTTAGGTTTGAAGTAGCTATGATGTCTCTTGGCATGCTCTGCAGTTTTTAAAT